TCAGTGACCGCCAGTTCTGCCCAGGAGCTCACCTGCCTCTCTGAGCCCCCGGCTGACTGGCTTGTGCCTCCCCCAGGGTGAGTGCGGGGTGTGGGACGAGGGAGGCCGGAATGGGCCCGCACGGCCACCCTTCCCCGGCCCAGGCCGGGCCCCGCCTACCCTCTGACCCTCCCAGCCCTGCTGCCCTGAGGTCCTGGGAACTAGGGCCCCACCCAAGGCTTTCCCCGGGGCCAGCCCCGCAGGGGTCTCCCGGGCCTGCTGCCCAGGCCTCAGCCCCCGGCCCTCAGGCTCCGTCTCTCCCCTCCCAGATGGACACACAGACTATACTGCTCATCTTGCAAGCCTCACTGGTGCTCCCCCTGGCTGACGGGGCCAACCCAGTCCTGCGCTTTGTGGCTGTGGGTGACTGGGGAGGAGTCCCCAATGCCCCGTTCTACACAGCCCGGGAAATGGCCAATGCCAAGGAGATTGCCAGGACCGTGCAGATCCTAGGCACAGACTTCATCCTGTCCCTGGGGGACAATTTCTACTTCACTGGCGTGCAGGACGCCAACGACAAGAGGTTTCGGGTGTGTGACCCCGGAGTGGGGGTGGGGGGTCATACGTGGAAAAGCCGCTCGACCTTTGGGACTCTGGGGAGGGCAGAGGGAAGCTGACGCTTGCGCGCACCTGGGGCGCTCCGTGTCTCCCTGGGCCTCGGCCCCTCACTTGGTGGGAGCCTCGGGGTAGCTGCTTGACCCTGGGGGTGGGGGTGGGGCGTCCCTTCTGTGTGCCACAGGAGACCTTCGAGGACGTGTTCTCTGCCTCCTCCCTCCGCAACGTGCCCTGGTACGTGCTGGCTGGCAACCACGACCACCTGGGGAACGTCTCCGCGCAGATCGCCTACTCCAGGATCTCTCAGCGCTGGTGAGCCAGCCCCCAGCCATGCCGCACCCCCCCCCCCCCCCCCCCCCCGCCCCGCCCAGGGGGACCGAGAGCCGAGAGCCGAAGCCAGGGCTCGAACCGGGCCTCGTCTGCTCAAGAGGTGGCGCCCTGTGCCTCTGTCTCCTCCGCAGGAACTTCCCCAGCCCTTACTACCGGCTGCGCTTCAAAGTCCCACGGTCCAATGTGTCTGTGGCCATCTTCATGCTGGACACGGTGACACTGTGCGGCAACTCGGACGACTTCCTCAGCCAGCAGCCCGAGAGGCCCCGTGACGTGGCGCTGGCCCGCACGCAGCTGTCCTGGCTCAAGAAGCAGCTGGCGGCGGCCAAGGAGGACTATGTGCTGGTGGCCGGCCACTACCCCGTGTGGTCCATCGCCGAGCACGGGCCCACCCGCTGCCTGGTCAAGCAGCTGATGCCGCTGCTGGCCACATACAAGGTCACCGCCTACCTGTGCGGCCATGACCACAACCTGCAGGTGAGGGGTCTACGGGGGAGGTGAGGAAGGGGCCCCCAGCCCAGCCGGCGTGCCACACGGCACACCGGGATCGGCCTGCCGCCCGGCGGTTTCCCAAATGTCCCTCAAGCTGTATGGTGTCTAACCAGAAAAGAGCCCAAAGTTTCCCGAAATCCGTCATACCAGCTGCTAGTTGCTCATTCGCTTCTCTAGCTGTGAAGCAGGATCAGTCCATTGCTACAGGGGAGGAAACTGAGGCCCAGAGGGTTTCTGCTCCTCGCCCGAGGTGACGCTGTGGTCGGGGACAGACCCGACCCTGGATTCGAGACAGGGGGGGCACAAAGCCCGCGGTCAGCCTCATCGAGGGGCTGGGGCCGCTGACCCTGACCCTGCGCCCTCCGTGCACAGTACCTCCAGGACGAGAACGGCGTGGGCTACGTGCTGAGCGGGGCCGGAAACTTCATGGACCCCTCGAGGAAGCATATGCGCAAGGTCCCCAACGGCTACCTGCGCTTCCACTACGGGGCCGAGGACTCGCTGGGGGGCTTTGCCTACGTGGAGATCAGCCCCAAAGAGATGAGCGTCACTTACATCGAAGCCTCGGGCAAGTCTCTCTTCAAGACCAGACTGCCGAGGCGAGCCAGGC